AATTAATGCCAAAAAAAATCCATGATGAACAAAATATCAAAATTTTAAATTGAAGCAGGCTCCAAGCTGGCCGGCACTTGCCTCACCAGTCTCACCCTAACCCTGCTCTGCTGGGCTTGCACTCTCCACCTATGAACTGGACCTGTTATCCTTACAGCACCACTGTCTACTGGAGCCTCGGTCACAGGGAGGGGCAGCTTGTTAACTTAGAGCACTAGCCAGCTAATTCTGAGCACAGGGACAGCACACTATTAGCTCCCACTTTTTACATTTCACTCCTTTTCTCACTGGGGTCGGCTCTTTTATCCCTTGAATCAATTAAGATAGGCAAACAGGGTTCCTCCAAGCTTAATGCATGTTTTACCCACATATTTACTGAGCAAGTAGAGATATATGTGGCAGAGCCAGACATGGCAATGGATCCCAAAGAGCCTCAGAAACAGCTCCGTCCTATGTCTATCGGGACAAGGGGGATGTTGGAATGTGCTGGAAGAAATCCCCAAGTCTGTTCCTCCTTCTGGTTTATCTCTGTTTAGAAAACCGCCAATCCCAGGAGCCCTGGCAGCTGGCTCAGAGAGGCTGCGTTCAGCCTGCTAAAACAAAGCCGATTTGTCAGCAGGCCAGCTGCTCCTTAACCACACTTCCTCCTGCAGCCTGCTGCCCCAACGCAGCACAATAACTTCCCTAAGTGTTCAAATAGATGCGGAGCAGAGATAAAAATTTTTCTTAAGGCTTCACTAGTTTACCAGTTCCCAAGCCTTGATTTGATTAAAGGGGGAAAAAAAGGCTTTCTTTAATAAATGGCAACAGCATTCCACATTCAGCAGTGGAGGGAGAACCTTTCTTTCTCCACTTTGCCTCCCTTCAAAACCACAGCATGTGGCCTCATGGGCCTGGGCATGGTTGGCTGAGCAGGAGGAGAAGCCAAGCATGGTAGACTGAGGCTTGGATACCACCCAGGCCTCCTCTGCCTCCACCGGTCCCTGCAGCAAGGGGCCTGAGCAGGAGAGGCTCACAAAATGCCTGGTGTCTGGGAAATGGCTCTCAAGGCCCAGGTGATACAGCTCTTCCGCCCTCCCCACCCCACCCCCTGGCATTCTGAATCTCTGCCACATGCTAAAGGCCACCCAATTCAGCCATGAGAAGTCACACCAGTACCCTCAATTCCTATCTGGAGGTAGGTCTCCAAGGCTTCCTCTGGTCTCATTTGGATGACCCATTTGCTGGGGGAGTATTGATTCTCCAATTCCTGTAGAACAGAGACACAAGGCTCTTTAAGACCTTCATTCTCAACACAAAGTGAACCTTTACCCCTCTGCATGTCCAGATGCTCCTCTCTTCCTCAAGGAGCCCCTTCCCCAGTATCCCAGGCTCTCAAAGATGCCCTCAGCTTCCTTCAGTCCCCTTTAGCCTCTAGCCTGTCAACCCAGTCCCCACCCTCCTCCCACAAGGTGTCCCATTAGCTGCTTTAGATACAACATTGAAGATGCCCTATACCCATGGTCTAGTGGGGCACCAGCAATGGCTGTGCCTTTAACCCCTGTCTGCCTTAAGGGGAGACGAGGCTCCATAAATGTGTCCAGTTAATGCCATTGTGGGCACCACCCCTCTGTACTCTCTGCCTATGAACTGGATCTGTTATCCTTGTAGCACCACTGTCTACTGGAGCCTCGGTCACAGGGAGGGACAGCGGAGGGGCAGCTCCCACCCAGAGATAAAATTTTTATCTCTGCTCTGCATCTATTTGAACTAGGACCACAGGAGGCCAGGTGGCAGGGGTGGCCCCTGCGGACAAGGAGCTCATCTCCCCAGAGAGGGGACAACTCTGACTGCAGGAGGACTCAGCACAGTCAAAGGCACAGAGGTGAGGAGGAAGGAATCAAAGGTCAGTTTATAAATGCTGGCAGGCCAGAGCCCTGAAGCACAGAGATAAAGTTGGGAGCTGGAGTGGGAGGAGAGAGGGCTGGGAAAGTCAGACTCAGATGTCCAGACTTAATGCAGGAATCGGATTTTGGAGAGGGGCCTCAAAGCAATCATCAGGGGAAATTTGAAGACAGGGGGGCTCAAGGAAAGGCCTGAGGCCAAACACCATCACGGTCACCTTCTGGCTGTTTTTTTTTTTTTTTGAGACAGAGTCTCAAGCTGTCACCCCAGGTAGAGTGCCCTCACAGCAACTTCAAACTTCTGGGCTTAAGCGATTCTCTTGCCTCCCAAGTAGCTGGGACTACAGCTGCCAGCCCCAACGCCTGGCTATTTTGTGGTTGTAGTTGTCATTGTTGTTTGGGAGGCCCCGGCTGGATTCAAACCAGCCAGCTCCGGTGTATGTGGCTGGCACCCTAGCCGCTGAGCCACGGGTGCTGAGTCACCTTCTGGCTGTTTTATCCTTAGGCAAGTTACTTAGTCTCTAGGACTCAGTGCCCTCACGGGTAGAATGGCCATACTAGCCACCTCACAGGGTTGAAGAGATAAGGAATGTAAGTGAAGTGAAGCCAACACTCAAATGTGGGTTGCCACCTCTTCTGGGGAATGGGGCTCTTGGCCAGAGGTCTTTGGAGCTGTACAATGTGTACCTGTAAAGATCATTATCTGTAGGAGGTTTTACAGCCACCCCTGACATACTCCATGAATGCTATGAATGGTAATGATAATGCAGTGGGTTTCTGAGAGTCCTCTAATATTGTAAGCAAATGTGTATGCCTGCGGCGGGGTGAGGGGGGAGGAGGAATAAGATTTCCTGGGGCAACATCTATAATTGTCATCAGATTCTCAGATGTGTCCATGATGGAAAAATAACCACTGCCTAAAATACAGGAAAACTAATTAGGAAATTACAATCCTAGTGATAATCACGGTAAGTGAATGATAATGATAATCACAGTTAGTGCAAATGTGAAGTGTGAATGAATGATAATCGCAATGCCTGGTAGTGCACCATGTGCTTTGCGTCTGTCATTTTAACCCTCAGTGAACACCGGCCTTTCTGCCTCCTTCTGAAACTGCCCTTACAAATTGATGGTGGGGGCTCGGCGCCTATAGCTCAACCGGCTAAGGCGCCAGCCACGTACACCTAAGGTGGCGGGTTCGAATCCCCAGCCCGGACCCGCCAAAACAACAATGA